TTGAATATAAAGGCTTTTACTATTATTATGATTTTTTATGGTTATAATGTCTGTGGAACACCCCCAGGACATAACAAAAATCTGAAAATCTATTGACATTATTTAGTATTCGTCGTAAGCGAATTATTTTATAACGTAATTCCATATAATCACAGGATCGATCGTCGCACATTGTAACACCGCCACATCCACCTTAATTAGACCCGAACCCGTATTTATCTCTTTCCCCGTAACCCTCTTCCCCCCGACGCTCGTGTCCGCCTTTGTGTGCGTAATCGGCGTAATCGTTATAAAACTTCTCGTTACCGCTCGCACCCTTGTAACCCGCGGTCTCCTCGTCAAATCGCCCTTTGTCCTTCAACCCTTTAACGGCGTACTCCTTCTCGTGGTGTCCTTCGTCCGCGCGCTCGCCCTTTTCGAAAAATCCCTTCCTGTTCCCATGTTTCGCCTCGTAATCTTCGTATTTATCGAAATGGCCGCTTCGATCCGCTTCGTCGTAAAATTTGTGTTGTTTTTTGTATTCGTCCTTATGGAAAACCTTGTGATATCCGTCGGTACGGGATCCTTTTTTATGGCCGTCTTTCTGGGAAAATGAGCCTCCGAGCGTCGATTTTCCCTGCTCGTGTTTCTTCTCGTAGTCGCCGCCGATATCGTAGCTCGACGCCGTTTTGCCACCGTGTTGGTCGTAAAGTGATTTCTGCGCTTCGTCGTTGTATTTGCCCTTCAGGCCCTTGGCGAACTCCTCGCGGTTATCGTACCCGGTTTTGGTGCGATCCCCTTTTTTAGATCGATCGTCCGAGTGATAAGATTTGCCGTAACTCCTGAGAAAGCTCGTGTCATAATTGACGGGGTGATTGTAGCCTGGAGCGTAAGGGTAACTGGAAGAAAATTTTATTTAGTGGATTGTACTGGGAAATATGTTACGTTTCGAAGTTACGATATGGCATGTTGCTTTGGAAAATGTCGTGTTTCTAATCCCATACCGAAGAACATTTTTGTACTAAACGTTCTAAATACTGCAAGATTTACGTTTTATTTTCTGTTCTCTATAAAATCAAATTATTCTTTCTAAATTCGCTAAAAAAATCGGATATGGGATATTAAAATTAGGCCATTGCTATGGCTGGGGTTGTAGAATTGACCGGACATATTGTTTGTGCCAAATACGATGAAATTTATATTTATTTATTCCAGAAGGATCTTTTTTCCTAAACCAACTGCAAGTTCCACACATTTAAACTTAAATCCTGACTCATATTTGATCTGATCGGATCAATAACACAAGGCACTCAACTGAGCATGTCAGTGTCTGGTGAGTTTGGTTATGGTGAGTGGTGGAGCAATCCATCATACATCACGGTAAGAGAATCGGAGAATATTTTCAAACAATACTTTTTGAAGCAGATCTCAACATTGCACGTGATTCACACTACACCAATTATTACTCAAGCTTTCGACCCCCTGATCTACCACGCAGATATTTAAATTAGATTAAATAACATTTTTCTGAAATTCGCCTATAAAGGCTGCGCGTACTTCATTAAACCTGATCAGATTTGCTCCGTATGTTACACTAATCAATTTGAAACAATTTACCCTCTTCTATTTACTTGTCCCATGCATAGTGCTCTCCGTACCGTGGAGTTTTCCAATATTGCTTATTTTATTATAAACATATTAAAATTAATAATATATTTCTAAGAAATGAATAGAAATAAAACTACAATTCATAATAATAATAATGATAATAAATAATATTTATTTATTTATATTTAATTCTATTTTGCGTTGCGTAGCCGTCGCGTCGTTCTGGGAACAAAATGGAATGGATATTTTTATTGGGATTCCCCGAATTGGTAAGCATCGTATTCGGATTTTCCTGGAAGAGGGTTATAGGTAAATTGAATATCACAAACGCAAAAGAATTTATTATAAAATAAAAATTATTATTAAATACTGACAGATAACACTCTACAATTGCATTTAAAACATCCTGATTTTTGAGTTATTGAAAATATCTTAAAATTATCTTGTGTTGCAAAGTGCGCGTGAAATTACGCTGCCTGTATAGTAACGGGTGCGTAAATTTGAGGTTAGAAAGTAAATAGGTTGTCAAATAATAAAATGAAATATTAATAATTAAGCAGACATCCTTAGACGTTTATTTAGTAAGCCAGTCTACTTCTTAAACTTATTGTTCCATGTTCTCCGTAGCCCTTCGCTCATGTTCAGCTTTCCCTTGGATTTGTATATTATATGTATTGATGATTATGGATCTTACAATTTTGTTGAACTAGTATCACTCAAAAATTATGAAAAAGGACAAATAAAATAGAATTAAAACCGACATATTACCGTTTTTATAAAATTTTATTTTTCAGATATTTTAGGTTGGGAATGAGATATTGAAACACGGTTATTATAAGAGTGTGACATCAGTTCTCTATATTATTATTTAAGAAAGCATACCAATTCAGAGAATTTTGCAATTTCTCGAGCAAAGCTGTAAAAAGCATATAAGTTTTAAGTACATTTGTAACATGTATTTCAGAGAAGTCACTTCTTTTTGCCACCTCAGTAGAAATAGTTTTCGAGGTACAGTGCTGTGTATTCTTATCTACCGTACTTATTTACAATTTTGTATAAATATTTATTTTTTTGATTCAAGTTTTCAAATTTTTCATCTATCTATATAATTTTAAATATAGATGTGGCTATAAATTAAATAAAAGTACTAATCAGCAGCAGAGTGTTTGAGGTAGTGAGTAATAAAATTCTTTTTTAAAGTGTTTTTCAATTTAACGCTTTGTATTAAAATAATCAAATCAATATTAGCTATTAAAAATCTGATAAAAGTGTAAAAGCGCTACGTGCGTGGCAGTGTCCTCAATAGCGAACTAACCCAAATATGGTGTCCAGTTCCTCGGAAACTAGCTCGAACAGAGATTCAAGTGTCACAGTTAATGTGCAAGCCCAGACATTTCAACAACAATACGCCTAATCTGATAAACTGACAAGTGATAATTATATCAGAATAATGTAACTAAAAACACAAGAAATGGGTACCTTTGCCCCACGTTTTGGAAGCCAAGTTAAATAACTGAAACTAACTAATAACAAATGAACAAAATCAATTAGCGCTGTTTGACCAGACAAAACTTGCCTGCACAAAATGAAATTTTAATTATAAAACCAATAATGAAGCCTAGGAAGGATATCAATTAACGATACTATATCAATGAAGAAAATTATCCGCAGTGTTTAGAACGAGATTATATTAATTCCAGTTAATGTAAATAAAGAGAAAAAGGAAAATATTCCTTACCTCCTCGAATGAGGGAAGGAGAAGATTTTTTGGTTAATTTTGACACTAAATTGTCAGTGTTTAAAGACAATTAATTTTTATAAAATTGTTTCTTATAAAATATCGGTTACTTCAAGCCAAAATATTTCGATAACGGTTGCTCCTAGTGAATTACAATAGAAGGACGAAAAAATGAAGGAGGAATGTACCGTTTTTCCAAAAATTCAAAACGCAGGTATAAATAAGAGTAAAATTAACAGCAAATTCAATTTTCTCATTTCAAAGAAATGTTCGTAAAAAAATCGACAGTATTTAGAAAATTATGCAGAAAAAAATAAAAAATCCGTCCAGATCCGCTCAATTTCGGTGTAGGTCATAGGCGTAGACAAACTTTGAACAATAAACTTATTTTTGATCAGTGAATTCGGATGTTTTTGAAGACTCTTTTGGAAACAATGATAACATCTTTTGGTTGATTCAGTAATATGTAGCTACGGATAACGCAAGAACCTGAAACTAGTTTCAAAATATTTTGATATTGATTTGTTTATAAATTATTAACTTAGTAAATTTAAAAAATCAACGATTTTCCTTTTCTCTATATTTAATGTAATCAGTATTTGTTTTGAACGCAATTTTGTTCGAACAAATTATTACCAGCATATTACAAAACGACGTTTTTCCGCTCTCTTATAATAATAACATAAATACATTAATCAAATTTGAACGTTTATATTTTAAGTTTGGGCCCAGTGCACTTTAAGACTTCAAAAAGAAAAGAGGATCTGCTGTTATGTGACTTTTACAATAGAACAAAGTGATAAAGCCCCCATTAGCGTCTGCGTGCTCTTTCTCGGTAGTCCACTTGTTGTGTTGTGGAAGCTGTTAGTTGGTAGTTGTTTTCGTGAGTGAAGGACCGAAAGAATGAATAGCATCGAGGCGGCCGCTAGTTTAAGGTACTTTGCGAGTTTCGATGGCGTTTGGATCAGTAATTATACGTTTACGTGAAGGCAATAAAGATCCCACTAGTTTGAATTCTAGTTGTTTTATGTTCCCTGAGAGAAAGGTTACATGACCTCTTTGTTTTAATTCTATAACATGTTTAGATTGTTATTTTAAACATTTAAAATAATATTTTGCTATGCTTATTTTATTATCTGTTAATTATAATTTCAATGGTTTCCTTTTCAATTCAAATGCAGACAATTTATTTATTGTAAAATATTATAAATTATAAAAATAAATAAATATTATTATAATAAAAGATTCTGATGCACATGTTTGTTTAAGGAAGACATTGTCGAATCATATAGCGTCTTACTGATTTATTAAAAAGCATCAATAAAGCTCAATCAGAAAATCAACATAGTTCACTTCTTATTAGATTAGATTAGTATCTACTGACCGGATTATTCCTTCAAAGATTTACTGCAAAGTTACCCTCGTCAGGTTGCCGTATTCAAACACTGCTTCGGGCAGCTTGGCATAAGCAAAATTCGCAAAACGTCCGAAATTCCCCCAAGGCATCATCTGCCTGATTCCGGCGATGCCCGAACAACATCTAATAGAATCTTAAACGTTTGACCCGAGAGACGGCCATCCTAAACATCTAATAGATTCCGACTTAAACAATCATATTTACCCTGATAGGGTTGAGGCGACGCCGCCCCGGGAGGTAGAGATCCGAAACACTTACCTTATCCCGTCGTATTCCGCACGAGGAGGTTTCGCATGAGAGATGATTTTCGCCTGTGGCAAATCGTATGAACCTTCGTTTACGGCAAAGCTCGACGGTCGCCCGTGGTAGATGTTTTGGTCGGAATAGCCCTCGGAGGGTGCGAGGAAAGGCAAAAAGCCCTTCGCGTATCTGGAATGCAAATAGAGGTGCTTGTTACACGGACGCGTCGCTTCGAAATTAAATCGCTCCGGGAACGGCAATGAACAAAAATCTGAAACGTGATATTCGCTAAGTATAAAATGTGGAGCGTTTCGAACCCGGATTTTCAATAGATGGGCGCGTTTTTTGAAAATTTTAAAGAAAAGTGTGTCTCAAAGTATATCATCCTCGTTTTTCACGCACTCTCCTCGAAAAATTAATAATAATAATAATAACAATAATATTAATAATAATAATAATAATAATAATAATAATAATTAGTCGCAACAATAGATTGGCTCGGACAGCAAAACAAAAGCATCCATCTTATCTGGATATCAAGTCACAGTGGTATAAGAGAAAATGACCTAGCAGATCTAACATCAAAATTAGCGACCGCAGAACAGAAAAATGAAAGAAAAAATAATAGATGCCTGGCAATCTAATTTCAATCAAAGTGACGCAAAGTTAAAAGAAATACTGCCAAATGTACAAGACGACAACTAAAATTCCTGACTAGGAAGAAACAGTCTATAATGACAAGACTAAGAATCGGCCATATAAATATTACTTCAATGTACCTCCTGCGAGTAACTCCACCCCCAACCTATGATTACTGTCCTGGAATTAGGTTAACAGTGAAACACATCAATGCCCTCACTATTTAAGCTTCCGCCTAAAACTGAAAATGCCAAATAACTTAAGAAGATGTCTATCTGGCAACCAAACTGAAACGGCAAAAATACTTGAATTTATTAGACAAATTGGCATAGTTAACCGCATCCAAACCGGACTGCAACAACGGCTCAAGCTAGTACTAAAACTAAGATCCAAGTTTTATAATATAATCTATATCGATGTTAATCGCCACCCCTATATACAGAACTTTTTTAGTTCAAACTAAAAGTTGCAATTTAAACCGCTCGTCTAGAGTCAGCCAGCGTGATTCCTCAAGGCTCGCAGAAGTATTATCAAACTTATGAACACCATAAGAGAATCTGAGACAAGCATTCTGAAAACGCTGAAGGCTGAATTTACCTTTTTGCAGTAGGGCCGGCCAATAAACTACATTACTATAAGAAATATTAGGCAGGATTAGAGAATCGATTAGTTTTGACTTAATATCTGTGTTTAACACATCTTTATGAGAGTATCCGAAGTTTATAGAACGACTTTTCGATTAAAGAGGCTACGTGACCTTCAAAGCGTAGATTGTTATCAACAAACACCTAAATTTTTACAACCAGAAGCAGGCTGTAAAGTTATGACACTTAAAAAAAATGACCATTATTTTATCCAATTATTCTAGCTCTATATTTACCGAAAAATAATAATTGAAATTGGAATATTTGCGTATTGTCAGCATACTGGTGAGAAGAACAATCTTTAATCATTTTACATAAATAGAAAATAACATTCGACCCAAAATACTTTCTTGCGCCACTCATTTGTAAATAATTGTTATTATAATGCACTCTCTAGTACCGATCAGAGAAGCAACTTTTGAAAAAGTCCACAGCATTGTCGTCAAGTCCAAAATACTTTAATTACAAACGATGGTCAAGTGTGTCAAAGGCCTTGCTATAGTCAACACAAAGCACGTACACATATTAGCATGATAAATGTCATCACAGATTTTTAAGAAAGCGGTATGATCTGCCCTAAAGACCGATTGCGTTGCCAGAAGGATATTATGCCTACCTAATGAAATCACCTAATTGCTGCTCAACAATGTTTAAGTTATTTCGACATTGTGAGCAGAATGCTTATAGGTCGGAAATTAGAAAGATCATGCAGCTCAGTGGTCCTCTGTGCAGGAATAATGTTAGCATATTTCCATAGTTTGGAAAATGTATTAGTTAATAAACATTTTATTGATAATATACGTGACCTAATTTGATATATTAATTTTTCAGCTATGTTATGATCGACAGTTTAGAATGTAAATTTATCTTTATTTACAGAGCTTTGAAAACTTTTACGAGAGTAGTGTTTATTAATACATTCATTAGTCAAGTCGACTTGAGGGAAGTTATTATAAAGAGTTTACCCTAGCATCCACAATATTACAAAAAGGACCAGACCCAGACCCCGGACAAACATGAAGATATCTTAGTACACGCGCCAAGTTTCTTGAAGCGACGATAACTCAGTTTTAATCATCATTTTCAGGTTGTCGGATAGCCAAGGAGCAAGCGGTTTAATAATTCGCACAGCTTTTATTAGGACCTATTACACGATGAACCCAACAACCAATAATTTATTCATAGGTAAAAGAGGTAGTGGAGGAGTAGTAGTAAGTAGAGACAGGAGCGAATGAGACAGAGGTCGACCATGCGCCGGCTGACACCAGTGGCAGCAGAAACGGCTTGCTGTTGTTAGTCAAGAATATTAAATTTCCTAACTTGGACTCTCATGAAGATACAAGCACAGAACATTTTGAAATATTCCCATCACTGTAATGGATCGCACAAACTATCACAGTCGCCTGTTACAGAAAGCACCAAATTCATCAAATACAAAAAAATTAAAGATAATTTGTTACAAAATGATATTTATTTTGAATCCAGTTGCAAGGCAGCTTTTGGAAGTGTTAAATGTATTCGCTATTAAGAAACCTGTCGAAATTGACATTTGCATACAAAATAACACAGAGCTTATTGTAATTAATCTTAATAATAATAATAATAGACTTTAGACTTTATTGACCATTAAATACATTACAAGACCAACAAATGGCAAGTCACATCTGTGAATGAAAATGAATTAACACAGTACCAAACACATTCTAATAACATTCATAGAGAGCAACATAATTATCAGATAGACAAATACCAAACATTGAAACAAGAATTAGCTAAAAAAAATAAGTAAATAATTATATAAATTAATTCCCAATTAGTATCATGGAGACACTCGGGATGCAACACGTATGTACTCATCTGCAGTATAGAATGCGCTCTACAATACAAATTGTTTTATTATCTTACAAAATTTAGTGAATGGCAGATCCTTGACAACGCTTGGTAGAAAATTGTAGTAATAAATGTACAATTCATTTAACTCGGATCTGCGCAGCCCAGAATGTCCCTGGACAATTAATTCAGATCCCCTGGTCTAGTGATTGTGGCGATCACAGTGCTTAGGCATATCGTTCTTAGCTAATGTATGCGAGTGACTGTATAGTAAATAAATAGTGATGGTAAGGTCAAAATATTAAGCTTTAAGAAGAGCGGGCGGCAGTGATCACGAGGCTTTGCATTCGCAATCACACGTATCGCTCTTTTTTGCATAAGAAAAGCCTTGCGGGCATGCACGGAACCACCCCACAAAACAATAGCGTACGCTAAGTGAGAATGGAACAATCCGACATAAGCAAGTCTTGACATGATAGGAATGAGTGACTTGCTTAAGTATCTAATTAGAAACAATTGACTTGACAGTTTGTGGCAAAGGTGTTCAATGTGATCTTTCCAAGAAAGAGTACGATCGATCCAGACTCCAACTACCTTAACCGGAGCATTGTTTAAATTGTGCACCTTGCTACAAGAGAAAATAAGATTGTTCGTTTTATTTTCGTTTAACTGTAAGGAGTTCGACCCGAACCATCTACGGGCTCTAGTCTTATTGGCCACACTATCAATACTAAGTTCATATGGGCTTCTCGCTCGGTATAAAAGAATTGTATCATCCGCGTAGAGCGTAGTTTTATATGGTATGTGGGAAGGCAAATCGTTGATGTAAACTATAAACAGCAGGGGTCCGAGCACCGAGCCCTGCGGCACTCCAAACGATACCGGCAAGCTAGAACTACTGAATTTTCCATTCAGTTCGACACACTGAAGTCTACCGCTAAGGTAAGAGCGCAATAATCTGTGAGGCATGCCCCTGATGCTATACCACTCGAGTTTCTGCATCAGCACTCACACAATCAAAAGCCTTCGTGAGATCGCAAAAGGTGGCCTCCGCTATTTCATCAGCGTCACCTTCGACAATGCTCCCCACAAGACTTAGCAAAGCATGCGTGGTGGACCATCCGCCCCTAAACCCGAACTGTTCTTTGCACAAAAGTTTGTGTTTTTCAAAATAGTTCAGCAAACGATCTTTTAAGATTATTTGGACGATCTTACCCATTATAGGGATGATTGCAATAGGTCTATAATTTGAGGGGATGTTGCTATCTCCCTTCTTGTGTAGTGGCACAATCCTGCTTATTTTTAACTGTTCTGGAAATATTCCAGTTTCAAACATCTGGTTAATTAGATGAGCTATAGGGTCAGCTAAAAAAGTTGCGGTATGTTTAAGAATTTTTGAATTTAGGTTGTAGACGTCTAGAGAATTAGAATTACTCAAATGTAGAATTGTGCTATAGACTAATTCACTGGAAACCGGATCCAGGAAAAACGACCTCGTAGGACTTGATTGCCTTCTCATATAGAGCATTGAATCATTTATTTTTTTGATTTCGGCAGTAATGCTCAGTGCCACCTGAGAAAAATATAAGTTGAAATCATTGGGAGTAATACTATTAGGTGTTCGGAAAGTCATTTCGTTTTTTTTGGGGAACATGAAAGATAGTTTTCGTATAATGAATAAATATTTTATTTAATTATATATTAGCCATTCTGGTCCAACATCTTTTGCCATCTTTCTGGCAGTAACATAATTCCCCTCTCATAAAAGTTTTGGTCCTTGCTGGCAAAAAACTGGTTCAGGTGGTTTTTGACATCTTCATTTGAGGTAAAGGTTTTGCCATCCAAAAAATTTTACAGGGACCGGAACAAATAGTAGTTGGAAGGCGCCAGATCTGGAGAATATAGTGGATGTTGCAGTACGTCCCATTCAAGCTGTAAAAGTTTTTGGCGAGTGACCAAACTTGTGTGAGGTCTCGCATTATCCTGGTGGAACACTACACCCTTCCTGTTGATTAATTCGGGCCTCTTCTCTTTAAGTGAATCATTCAATTTCTCCAGTTGATGTCAATAGACTTC